CTGGCTGTTTTGGTGAACGTGGATTAAAAATTCAAAGCTCATCTTCAAAATAGATGGGAAGGAGTTAGGTGAAACACTGTGACCTGGAAAAGGGAGGACCAGAAAATGCCATCTGTATGGGGCATTGTTCCAGACCAGAAGAGTTCTTGTTTGTTTGGTATAGGATTTGAATCACAGAAGGTACTCGATCTCACTCCATGAATGATTATTTGTCTTGTTATGGAGAGGAACGGTAGCCTTGTTAATAAGGCTGCAGAGAGCCCTGCCATCATCTTAATCAAAAGTTTGGAGTTAATTATATCAGAGACCCTCCAAATTTTCTAGCTTTCTCAGAGCCCATGGCACTCATAGTTCCTATATGAAGCAGAACTAATTGTATATACCTGCCTTCCTTGCTCAGGGCTGTGGGGCCTGGAATATGAAGGAACGTTTATGTGTAGGCGGCTGGGCTGAAGATGTACAGTGGAGAAGGGATAATGCCTTAGATGCAGTACAGGAGCCTGCAGACTGGTCATGGTTGTGTACGTTATAAGCCCAAATAGGAACAGGCTGTGTATAATCTCACCAACTCTCGGCAAGCTCAGCCACAAATTCCTAGCAAGCCAGTGTTATTTAGAAAGAACACCAGCATCTATTTTGAAGAAAATAATACATCAGCCATTGCTTGTTAGACAAAGTGATAAAAAGCCTACCGTAGCGTATGGGATTTCCTTTCTAACAGGTTTACTGCTTGCTGGCGTTCCCCTACCTTTTAAGGAGAATCAGGGCTTTGAGTTGTTTGTTGGATTTTGCATGTGTGCTATTGTCCTCTTCTTGCCCTTTTCCCACCTGCTGGTTTCTCTTCTCTGTATCTGGGCCTTCCAGGCTGATATATACCTGCAGCATGGATGTGGACATGTGCAGGTCTGGTATAAAGCTATCCCCTTTCCTCTCGACTCCCATAGCATGTGCCAAATATGTTAAGAATCAGTCGGGAGGACTGCTACAAAAATAATAGCACTGGTATTATCTCTGCTCCTCCTGCTCCTGTAGGGCTCCCTATGCAGCATTTATGCATTGTTGATAACAGGGTGGTGATCGCACCTCCTTCTATGATCCTTGGAAGAAGAGTCCCACTATGTGATGTTAGACATTTATCTTACTCTTGAAGATTTTTTTCTGCCCTCCTACTGTCTCAGCTGTGTACTTATTCTCAGATTTCAGTCTAGAAGGTGACCTCTGCATTTTGCTCCATTGGTGGGTAGGGCACAAAGGGACCCTAGAGCACTGATGTCTCTTTCCTTTCTTTGCCTGGAGGTCCTGCATGCAGGTGACTCTTCTTCCTATACAGGACTGATGGCAGTTCCCTCTGGAATGCATCAGTGCTGCCTCTATCCTGCATTGCTTGATATGAATGAGAGGTATAACATCTCTGGTCCTCCTTCTGTAACAGCTTTGCCCCATGTGAGGGGTGCGTCCCAGGGCAGTATCTCTCAACATATCCTTTGTGTTCTGGAACTGGCTTTTAGCAGTGATAATTACCTTCCCTGTACTTTTCTGCTTCGGAACCACCACATGCCTTACATGGGTTAATGAATGAAGTACCCCATAACATCAATTTCTCTCATTATGCTTGTTCCGGGGAGATGAAGGAAACTAAACGTTATGATGGGAACTGACAACAACTAGTTGAAGTTGCATGCAGACAGCCAGCTCCATCCGCTATACAAAAGTGTACATTCAATCAGAGCTGGATAGCTTTTGGGTCCTGACTTCCAAACACTAGGTAATGCTTCCTGTTCTTGCCTCTTTTCACTTTGGCTCTTCCTTCTGCCCACCTGAACCAATTCCAAGAGGAGAGAGCTAATAACACAATAACTTGGGGTGGGACTCTTTCCACTGCAGCCTCTCCCCACCCCCACTCCTGTCCATACAAGATTGATAATGAAACCGATACCTTTCACCGGCATAATTTTCATATTTAATGAGCGTGACTCAGAAACTATTACATTAATTAGTCAAATCCCACAAACCGTTAATGGTGCACGCAGTAATTAATATTGTATTCAATTAAAAGCTGACCTGTTTCAGGTGCCTTCCCCTGGTTTGGGGGACTCTTTGCAGACAGCGTATGTTTCAGTGCCTGAGGCCAAGCCTTTTATTTTGTTCCAGTGGTGGGCAAGGGAGGTATTCTTTTTTTCCTGTTTTGTTTTTATAGGCTTTTTCTCCATGAACATATGTTGGTTCCTCCACCTCCCCACCCCCCCATCTCTGAACGTGGCTGAGCTCACTATACAGACAACCTGCTTGCTGTGATTTATGGGTTAGCACAGTGCGGGGCTCACAGACTGGAAAATTTCCAGTTTACACAAGAATTCCCTGAAAAATGAGCTTGGTTAATTTCTTTCTTTCATTAATGAGTTTGAACTGTGGGATAATCTTTCTGAAACCCACTACCCTTGCCTTCACAAACCCTGAGAAGCAAAAAAGGCTCCTGTTCTGCTTCCACAGGGCTCAAAATCGCATCTTTTAACTAGCTGTGGACAAAAATGTGTGATCAAAACTTACTTCTGAAACTTCTTTAAAGAGGTGGGGTTATTCTTACCTGAAGGTGAGGGGTGGAGGGCCTAGGTCCTAATATTAATATTTCAGACCTGCACATCTGAGTTAGCTCACTGCTGTATCCTGTGGAAGCCTGCAAGGTTGCGGCTTGTTGGATGTGCAGGAGCAGGGTTCAGTCTTTGAGATAAACCTTTGTGTCATAATGGCACCCTCCTATTCAGGTCTAGTTCAGTGGTCACCTAAGATCCACAGACGATATCCAGTAGTTTTCTGTGGTATTTCTTCTTGTTCAGTAGGAGGTGAAGATTTGTACATAGGTCCAGTCACAATGCCCCTGTCTGCTGATGTGATTTGAGGAGCACTGTATATAGAGACCTCACAGCTGGGAGTTGTTGCTTGAAATCAGTTTGGGCCATTCCACCAGAATTATTAACAAACTTTTGTAAGACTTGTTTTTCAGTCATTTTTTTCCCCCTGTTGCCCTGATCAAAGTAATGGTCTGTTTCCAGGTGCTCTGCAGTGCCTCTATTCCCTGTTGAAGGGCTTGGAATAAGGTAGCTAATCCCTTCAGCAGATTTAGAGACCTTGTCTGGACTCTGTTCTGATTTCCTCTCCCTATGTATTGACGTGCAAGGGGGTAGTACTTAATGCAGCCTTCGATCTTCTCACTAGAATTGAATAAAGAGGAGGTATTGTCACCCATCTGTGTCACAAAAGGAGATATTGTCACCCATGTGTCTCACAAAAGTGGTGTCTTTAAATAAATATTAAAACAGGATTTGTAACAAAATCACTCTGCTTGCTTTGGAGCAATTTGGTATCTGCTCTGACCAAAGGCTTTTTCACTGAATCACTGCTCTCTGATCTCTTGGTTTCTGATGCCATGTTGCATTATTTTCACCAATAAATATGTTGCTATTCATACGAAGTTTCTGCAGAACAGAAGGGAAAAATACGCTTCTATTGAATATATGCTATTGCTACAAAGGCTTTGAGAAACACATGAAACATCAGTGTGATTTCTTCCTAAATAAGTTGTCATCTTTTGAGAAAATAAGAAATTCTTTGAAACAAAATAATACAGATGCTTTATAAACAACTATTATCTTAAGTCAATAAAATGTACTGAGAAGAAATGTCATGTACTATCATTAAAGACTTTCACAGCAAATCTAGTAATGGTGTCCACATACCAATGCCTCTTCATTAGTCCAGCTAAAATATTTATGTAGCATTTGCCACACTTATGATGTCTCTCAGTCATTTTTTTGTTTGTTTGTTTGTTTGTTTGTTTGTGGACCTCTGAAGCACTTTTCCATGGCTGTGTGCACTCCTGTATACTGAGCCTTCTGACAATGACACTGCTTCTTGTAGATTTCTTTTGTGATTCTCTTGCGAGGATTTTGAGGGATCACGGCTGTCTGCAGACTGTAAGCTGAAAACTGTTAGTGTGGATGATGCAGGCATATAGTATTTGACTTTAATGTTGTGTAGAGCAGGGAGAATGTTGCTTTCTGTTCATTGTCAGGAATTATTATATACTATATTAAATACCTCAGAAGTACCAGCTGAGGAAAGTATTGCTAATCTTTTAAAGCCTGCACATGCTTCCTTTGGAAGGGCAGGTATCAAGTGGGGATGATTATGAAAATGAATGAAATGGCTGACTGGAAGTGCTGATATGAATACTTGTGTACTCTGAGTCAGTACCGCTCAATTTTCACTGGGGGCCTGGAAATTTTAATGAGACCCATTCAACAAAGGTCAGTGGGCTGTTCGCTGTTCTGCTCAGTTGGTTGCACACTGCATGTCACTGCTGTGGCTGTCACTGCAACACAGTGAGCAGCTTGGGGCTGTGCTGGTACTGAAAAGCATGGAAGCTCCCACAGGACCATGGTAAACATCCTGTGATTTTGAGATTGCAAGGGTCAGGCAAAACTTACTTGCAAACTCCTTTCCCTTGTCATTGCTCTGAGTTATGTAAAGAAGGAATGGACTGTTCAAAATGACTGAAGAGAAGGTGGTTTGGAAATTCTTATCTAACTTCCAAAAGGCCTCTGCAAATCTCCGCTGTGGAAAGCTGATGGGACTTGCTGAGTATTTGAAAAAAATATAGGCTGTATTCTTGTACCACTGCTGGCAAGTACCTTGACAGGCATTTTGCCAGCCACAAAACACAAGTTGCCCGAGAAGCTGCAGGTTTAAGTGCTGCTAACATTCATACAGCAGGCAAAGGAAGAGCATGCTTGTTAATTCCTGAATACCTTTTTGTCATGGTTTAACCCCAGGTGGCAGCTGCTCAGTTACTCCCCCTTTGTTGAGATCGGGGAGAGACTTGGAAGAGTCAAAGTGGGAAAACTCATGTGTTAAGATCAAGACAGTTTAATAGGTAAAGAAAAGCCATGCGTGCAAGCAAAGCAAAGCAAGGAATTCATTCACTGCTTTCCGTTGGCAGGCAGGTGTTCAGCCGTCTCAAGGAAAGCAGTGTTCCATCACCTGTAACGGTTACTTCAGAAGACAAATGCCATCACTCCAAACATCTGTCCCTTCCTCCTCCTTCCCCCAGCATTATATGGTGAGCGTGATATCATATGTTACGGAATATCTCTTTGGTCAACTGGGTTGAGCTGTCCTGGCTGCATCGCATCCCAGTGTGTCTTTGTGCACTCCAGCCTACTTGGTGGGGTGGTGTGAAAAGCACTGTAATATAATGACCACATTGTTCATAGAATCTGCAATGCTTTGTGTTAAGCAGAGAGATCTTTAGCTTGGAAGGTTAGCTTACTTTGCCCTGATTTTTCTTAGTCAACATCACCAGTTCCTCAGGGATAAACTCCAGCTCCTGAAAATAACACAAAATTCACTTGGTTTCCTCTAACCACTTGGTCCAACATAGTGACATAAGGAAGCAAAGTTGAGCGCATATTGAAGCTGGGCTCCTGTCTTTCCTCTAGAGACTGAAGTTAAGGGGTGGCTTGTGGAATCCTCCTGGTGCACAGCAACACAGTCACTGAGTTGGCAGTTGTTTTTCTCCCATTATTAGGAAGTTTATTGTGCCTAAATGAAGGAAAAACTGATTTTTTTTTTTGGGGGGGGGGTGGGGAATGTAAAAAGTGCACATACTTCTTAACAGGAGTTCTCTAAGTCTTGGTCACTGTGCTTAAGTAGATTCAGCCTAATTGTAAGCTCTAAGATAGGGGAGCAGTATACCTTTGAACATGTGCTAAAGCATTGAAGGTAAGGCAGCTAAACAGAGAGGAGAAACCGTGGCCTGAGTATTGCTTGATAAAATTGGGATGCAAGAAGAGAGAGAGTACTCTGCATATGGTCTTCTTTTCTTATCCTCATTTAGAAATAACCCAAAAAATAAGTAGGGGAATGTTTCTTCTGCCTAGATTTCTAGGACAGTCCTACTCCTTTAACGTGATTTGCAAATAAGAATAAATTCAAGTTAAACTGATTGACAATCTCTAGGGAGAATCAGAGAAATAAAATGTGATTCATCTCTTTTCCTGCCGAACAAAAAGACACTTTTAGATCAAATTACATTAGGACAGTAGCTGTCTGCATATTTTTTTTTCTTTCTTTGTAGAAACACCCTCATTGAGGCTGCAAAAATATTGCAGTAAAGAGCTGAGAATATTACTTTGGTGAGTAACTAATTTGAAGAAATAATGAAAGCAGATGAAAAAAAAATAATCTGGATGTTTCTAGGTTTTAGTTTTTTGAATCTTTATCAGTTAATCAACCACAAGTGATTTGGGTTGATATATTTATAAAAAATGGGAAGGAACAAAGAATCTCACCTTAGGACATGGTACCACACCAAAGCAATTGTCTGCTATATCTGGTTGCAAATATGATGCTATTTTTTAGCAATGATGCTATTTTTTAGCAGCTCTACCAAAAATGCTTCTTAGAGAAGCCTAAGGGGTAAGGCCCATGTACAGTTCCTAGCCTCAGTGCTTATCCATTGGAAAGGCAACAGGATTTTAAAAATTATTCAGGTCTGAATATTATCCTTCTCCTTAAATCTATTTGCCTTGACATTTCTTTTTCTTCATACTAACTTTCTCTTGTAAGTGGCTGTTCTTGCTCCTACATCCATTGAGGTCTAGCTGGTCTAGGACTGCTGATTTATACCCAACAAGTTCTTCAGAGACCTGTGTGTCTTCACTGGTTCTGTCTGTAGGGAAAAGGGCATTTTTCTTTGCCACCATAATATCATGCTGAGCCCATTGTAGTTGAGCTTCTAGGGAGTTTCACGGGCATAATCAGACCTGTAAATCTGCTTATAATACATCCATACTGACAGTTATATAAATATAGACATGACTGCCAAAATGTGGTCATGCACAACCATAATGACACTTTAAGACCATAATGTTTCTATTACTAGTTAGCTGTTTTCAGTAAAGCAAATCTATAGCTAAAGAACTTAATACTTTCTCATTCCTTTGCCTTATCTTTTCTGTTCTAGCTCCAGCCATTTGTTCCCTGGCTTCTTATAAAGCATAGTTCATTTTATCAGTGGATTCTTCATCACTTCTGTGGCTCACAGCCTTTTGCCTGATATCTGCTGAATCTTCTAGCCTGGAGCCCAGAGACTACTCATTTTACTTTCTTACCAAGACTCCTGCAGGCCAAGTTCTGGCCTAATGGAAGATACCTGAATGTGCCCTATCTGTCAACATTCATGTACACCATGCTTCACTTGTTAGGAAAGTTACCCTTTCCTTCTGTTCCAGTTGAGGCTCTTCTCCATCATTTCTGTTGCTACACTTACATCATGCCATAGAGCAGCTGCTCTTGTTTCATTATGTACTCCTCTGGGACATAGCCTGTCCATTCTGCTTGGAATGGAAGTCACTGAAGTCTTGTCCCTGTTTGGGACTGAGCCAGGATTGTCAAGATGAGAGCAGTAGCTGTGGTTCTCTTAGTTCACATTAAAAATAGCTGGGGAATTGCTATATTTTGATTATTTTTTTTCTTGTTCATAAAGAAGGTGCATAAAGCCTTATTTCTTGAATATAGAAAGGGCAAACAAAATGTAGGGTTTTTTTTTGTCCTGGTAGGACTGGACAAATCCCAGCCCAGGTCAAAGCCATCTCACATCTTCATCCTGGCTCCCTCTCCCTTTGCTTCCATGATTACCTTCAGCTGCTGCCATATATATCTCCACCAATGCAGTTTTTTACTACTGCATTTCATTTCCCTTGGAGACCTAAGCAAGAAGTAAACCAGATTCAAAAGATTGCCCTTTGTCACCTTGGATAGACATCTAAAGGTGCCAAATGTAGTGTCATCCAAGGTTAGTCTTGGAAAGTGACATTTGCCAGCAGCCTCAAGTACTGCCTAATATGTTGTGTTCTTAAACTTTCTAGGAACTTTTTGATCCCGTAACATAAGAATCTTCATGTTGCCTCCATTTAGTCAGTGGAGATTGGATTAAAGAGCATAAGATTTGGCTTGCAGGTCATAGATACCTTTCAGAAAGCACGAGATACCTGCATTTTTCTGTTCATAATGCCAGAGAGCTGCTTGTGAGGACAGTAGTGTTCATGCATAAGGAAGGCAGTTGTGAACTCTGTGCATCTGTGTTTCTGTATATATGTGTGTGTGTCTCCATTTCCAGCACAGGAAAGAATCCAACAATATTTCACCTAAATGAGAAATGTTATTCTGCAGATTAAAGCCACGCAATGCCTGGTTTTGTCTTTATTTATGCCTTTCTATTTCCTTCTCTGCTGACATGGGTGCACATGCCGGGAAGCACTGAAGGACATAATTGGTGTTGTGAAAAATTATTGGGAAGCCAGGACGTTCCCTTGCAGTGATCCCCCCCTTCTCTTCCCCATCTGTCACCATCTAATGTGACAAAGTTTTTATCGGGCATTGAGGCAGAGGAGATTAAAAGTAAATACTGCAATCAGGAAGCAGCTGGGGGGAAAATGTAACACATTTCACACTAAGCTGAACCAGCTCATCAACTTAGCCTTGTATATCTACGGTGGAGGAGAGGGAGGGAGGGCTTGCAGGGGGATGGTGTGGTTCAACATCCTCCTCCACACTGGGAGTCTGAAGGGGATGGTGTGTTTTCCTATACAAATAGGACTCATGGCTTCTGGCACTTGCTTGCCTTGGTAAGGTGAATGCCCCAGGAGCACAGCAGTTTTCCACTTTCTTTTGTAACAGGCTTCCGTATAACACTGATTTCCCAGGCCCTGATTCATATATTTTTTGGACTCCCTTCCTTCTTTAATAGGGTCCTGGGTACTGTTATGTCTTATTCAGCTAGGAGGGCTTTAAAAGACATGTATCTCTGGATGTTGTGCGCTCCTATCACACCATCTCTGGGGAGCTGCAGGGTGTTGGCTGAATGAGAGGCACTGTCTACAGGCAGATACAATAATATTTTAGGCTCATGAAGCTGGATATTGAAATCTTTGATACACACTGGCCTAGGCACTGTTATATTCTATCCTATGGTAGGATAGAATTATGATTCAATGATTATATGATCCAAACTGATCTGCTTGCAAAGACCAAGAAGCCTGAAAGTTTTGAGCCACATTGATTTATTCTTATTTGTGTCTGCAAAAACTTAAGGTCTTTGAGCCCTGGCAGTCATCATCTTCTTGCAAAGCTTTTAAAATGCTTTATTTTCATTTCCAAAACTGCTGCCTATGTCTTCTTCCTTTTTTATAGTGCTGATGTGATGTGAGCTCAGAGCTGGTGAACAAAAGTAGACTGATGCATGCAGACGGCTGCCAGAATCTTCTCTTTATCCTTGGGATAAATAAAGCTTTGGAAAGTGATGCAGGCTTCCCTGGCATCCCTGCCTTTGTGCATGTATCTCCTGCTATGGAGAGATCAGGAGATCTCCTAGATCAGGAGGATCTCAGTCTCTGGCATTTTTTGGTCCTTGGCTTTGCAGCTGAGTAACAGTTAAGGGCCTATCTATATCATTTATGCTGGCATTTTTGTAAGGTGGAAAGTTATTTTGCCAGGAAAGGAACTCTGATGCTGTTGCTTTCATTAATTTGATGTCATTTCCTTATTTTGCAATTACTTTTTGGCTTTCTTGTCACCTGTTTGTTAATGTTGATGAGATGTCCTGTTATCTTCAGTAAGTTTTCTAAGGCTCAAATATCATAAAATCTTTCCAGCTATTTGCTGAACTGTTAGATTGAACAGTGCCTTCTCAACTGGGATGAATTCCTTTTCCTGCGCTTGGTAATCTGTCAGGATTTCTGAAAGTATGGAGTTTGTTTCCAGTCTAGTCTGATACTCATGTTGGCTTTGATCTCATGAGTTAGTAATTCTTTGTTGGTTACAAACCCCACCAAATAGGACCGTTACAGAAGTGCATACTTTCTAAACACTGTTGGTAACAAAAGTGGAACCTGCAACATCTTCCAGTGTTAACTTAAAAAAATAATAATCCTGCCACTGGACTACTGGCAATGTGTATTTTGTCTGTACAACAGCCTGTACATTATTGGCTATGGAACTCCATTATCTCCATACTATGAAGGGAATGAGTGAAGGATTTAAAATAGGCAAAGGGTCATT